TTGATGAATGCAGGAATGTAAATGCATGAGCTAACCATTTTTGTCTAAACTGTGAAGCAGCATTATATATGCATCATGTGCATGATTTTTCCATATATGGCATTAGTGGAAATATGCCTTTAGAGACTTTTTGGTTGATAAATACGTTTTGCTGTGTGAAAATCACACGCACCTGGTGCGTGCGTGTGTTTAGCTTAGTAAATCACCCCCATTGTCTACTTGCTGAAACATTAGCAGACTGTATGTTGTGTTGATGAAAGACATAAAAGACTGTCCTGTTTATGTTTAAAACGGCTTCACGACTGTTCCTTAAGGGCTCACCATATGTGCTAAGTTCCCCAAACATCACAATATATATATATATATATTCATTGAGGGACTCAGGATTCAGATACATTTTGATTATCATGCTGCCTACAAGAGGATTTGAACACTGGCAAACAAAAAATAGGAACAGATGTGTATAACCCCTCCCACTCCCACCATGCCTCTGTTTTTTGCTAGCATCCTAGGAGAATTGACATCCTTTTTCTAAAAGTTAAACATTTTTACTAGCAATTATTTTGTTTATCTCAAGATTATTTTTTCTTCAATAAAGAATTCATTAAACAGCTGCCTACAGGGTCTCCTTCAAACGACCTGATACAGACAGCTGGAATGTTGTCCCCTGCATCCTTACAGCCCTTGGGTTTCTCCTTAGCTCTGTCAGGTGCGGCCCCTTCCTTGGTTTTAATCTGGGAGGATTTCACTGCAGTAATGCAATATTAATTATAGACTACAATGCTGGACATCTTGACTGGAGGGTCTCCTGATGAGAATCCAGCTGGACAATGCTAGGTGGTGTACATCAACCATCAGGGAGGAACCAGAAGTCTTGATGCATTAAGAGAAGTAGAAAATATCCTGTCCTGGGGAGAACCTTATGTTCCAGCCTTGTCCACATTCTAGGCATGGACAATTAGCAGGCAGACTACCTTAGCCGGCAGTGCCTGGATATGGGAGAACAGTCCCTACACCTGGAAGTGTTTTAGAACTTGTGTCATTGGTAGTGGAAGCCAGATGTGGACCTCCTGGCCTCCAGATACAACAATAAACTTGACAGGTTTATCTGATCGTCTATCCCAAGGACCAACTTACCATCCTATCATAGTTGCTATCCTTAACAGCATGTTAGCTTTCTATCATTCATTAGCTTTAACAGCATGGCTATTTAAACCCAAGGTCATGAGGGACAAGGACCTTGCCGTCCCCAGTTTTTCTCTAATTGGGATTGTTAGAGTTTTGTTTGCTGTGTTGCCCACCCCTCATGTCAGGCTGCCTTTCCAATTGTGTCTGAATCCTGTGCTCCTCAATGAACGAAAGAAAGCAGGATTTTTGTACCCTCAACAAAATCCTTTTCTGCAAGTTCATTGAGAGACACAGGTCCCTCTGTGTTTATGGTCTTGCTCTTGGCACTGCTTTGTTACAAAACTGAGGCTGGGAGTGGGGCCAGTTGTATCAGATTGGTCACTGTCTTTTTGTTTGCAAGTGTCCAAATCCTCCTGTAGGTGGATGTTTAACCCAACTTTCTCTGAATCCTGTGTTCCTCAATCAACTCAAAGTAAAAGATTTTATGGTGAGTACAAAAATTCTGTTATTCAGTATATGTGTTGCTACAGAAGACTGAAAGAGAATACAGACCTATTAAGAGATGGTCAGAGACTGCGGACATGCCACAGGTGTGGCTGGAGACTGGTGACATGCTGCAGTATCAAAGTGCCACATGTTGGGCACCAAAGATGTAAGGGTTCTGCATGTGTGTTTCGGCAGTTCTTTGATTCTTACATATGTAAAAAAAAACTAAGGATCATGATCTGCAGATCCTGTCAGAGCAGATCATGTGAACCTAGTCCCTGCCAGAACCTTGGCCAATATCAGGGCCAGGTACGGTTAGCTTTAAGCACAGTGCAATTCATGATGTAATATAGAGCTTACCATTTGGATTGTACATTGGAGGTGCTGGGGAATATACAGGATACTGGGATGTTGGTTCACTTGGTGGGTACATAGCCACAGGTTCATATCCAGGCTGAGGTGGTGAAAACTTTGGATCCATTGGATAGGGTTGTGTGGGATATGGAAGCTGGGTTGGATATGGAGGCTGGGTTTGGTATGGAGGCTGGGTTTGGTATGGAGGCTGGGGTTGGTATGGAGGTTGGGTTTGGGATGGAGGGTGGGTTTCGTATGGTGGCTGGGTTGGGTATGGAGGCTGGTTATTGTATGGAGGTTGCATGGGATAGAGAGGTTGCTGGGAAACACCCGACATCTGGATTTCTTGAGCTAGAAAACAAATCATAATTCAGAAAATGTGTTTATGTTAATGTTCATCCTTTTAACATGCCGAGAGAAAAAAAATTGCTGTAATTTAAACCCTAACTTGGTCTGATTTATTGCAAGTCGAATTAGTGGTTTTTTTTATTTAAAAAAAAAAAAAGTGCTTTGCATTCTTAAGGTTCCAGCTATGTGGCTGGCAAGCTATTCTAAGCCAGATATAATGGAGATCATATCCAGGCTGAGGTGGTGAAAACTTTGGATCCATTGGATAGGGTTGTGTGGGATATGGAAGCTGGGTTGGATATGGAGGCTGGGTTTGGTATGGAGGCTGGGTTTGGTATGGAGGCTGGGTTTGGTATGGAGGTTGGGTTTGGTATGGAGGTTGGGTTTCGTATGGTGGCTGGGTTGGGTATGGAGGCTGGTTATTGTATGGAGGTTGCATGGGATAGAGAGGTTGCTGGGAAACACCCGACATCTGGATTTCTTGAGCTAGAAAACAAATCATAATTCAGAAAATGTGTTTATGTTAATGTTCATCCTTTTAACATGCCGAGAGAAAAAAAATTGCTGTAATTTAAACCCTAACTTGGTCTGATTTATTGCAAGTCGAATTAGTGGTTTTTTTTATTTAAAAAAAAAAAAAGTGCTTTGCATTCTTAAGGTTCCAGCTATGTGGCTGGCAAGCTATTCTAAGCCAGATATAATGGAGTAATTGTTAATGTCTTACTATCAATACAAACTGTTGTATTCTGAATAACTGTTTTGGGTTAATACATGTTATAATAGTATTCAGCATATGAATTCATTCTTTATTTCAAAATTCCCAGCCAGCCAATGGTGCTTGAGTAGCTGCAGATGAATATTAAAAGCATGTGAATAAAAAAAGCACCCTCTGCAAGGAATACATTAGCAGATGCAGATATATCTGGATGTCTGCAAGTTTTCATAACAGCAGCTTTCGGCTATGCTCACACCATGTCTGGACCAGGTGTGGAGCAGATCTGCAAACGCAGTGCAGTGCATTTTTGCCATGATAGCCTAAGTGTATCTAAAGCCAAATTGTTTATTTAGGTTATGGCCAAGTGGCATGAGCGTCCATAACTGCCTATTTTACAAACTTGTACACCAGCAGTGCATGTTTTACAGGCAACCGTAAATATGCATAGGTGGAGTATATAGTGTATCTCCAATACGAACTGTCAGATTTTGGCAATGCAGGTAATCAGTCTGGCAGTATATAGAAGACTGTAAACAAAGCAGAATAGGCCTTTTGAGTAATCATGGATGTAAGCACATACTTAAAACTGCAATCTTGGTACGTCAGACAAAAGAAGAGTTAACATGGAATATAAAGAAAAAAGAATGTTGTCATAGTAAGTCACTCCTGAGACTATTTATTTTGCCATAACATAAAGGTCCAGCACTATGGAATTTGGGCACAACACAAACTGCAAAAGCAGAAAATAGTGGTATGGAGCACGTGATGTTTAATCATTACCGCATCTGCCTCATGTTTTCCAGTCAAGAATGTTAAAAGGCAGTCTTGGCTTTAACCCTTTCATTGCCAGGCCCTGCTCTCCACTTTAACCTCAGATGACCAGACCATTTTTACAATTTAATACTGTATAGTTTTTGGTACATACTGAAATGATAAACTAAATGGTTAAAGCACTGGGTGTGTAAATTATCGATAAAAAGCTGAGTATTATGTGCAGAGGGCGGCTGCAAAGTATAAAAATCTTACCTTGCAGCATGCCATCTCCTGCACACAACGATAAGCTTCCAGGCACAGAGGAGAGGGAGAGATGCAACTCGAGCTGTACTGTATATCGCTCCTGTCACGTCACTCGTCCATTCCTCACTATCCTCCGTTCACAAAATGTTGTTTTTTTTTGTTTAATACAAGACATTCTGTGATTGGAGTTGGAGAGAAGGGCGTGACAACATCTCTTCTCCCCCAATCGCAGAATGTTTTGTATTCTTCAAAAAAATACAAGACATTTTGTGACTGGACCATAGTGAGGAGGAGGAGGCGGCTGGTGATGACAATGGAGCGCTCCAAAGCTTGAGTCGCATCTCTCCCTCTCTTCAGTGCCCAGAAGCCTGGCGTTGTAAACAGGAGACAGCATGCTACAAGGTAAGATTTTTTATAAAAAGTCAACCTTTGTACACAACACCTAGCGCAGTGTGTAAATTATTATTTTGCCTGGAGTGTGGCTCTAAAGCTTACCTCAATGGTTTCTTATCTCTCTCACACACTCCAATGATGAGATTTCTGCACTTAGGTTTCCAAGTGTGCACACCAGTACAGCCATTACAGAACAGCCCCACTGTCCCTGCTAGATTTTCATTAATTCGATATTACAGCAGAACTGGGAACAATCCCAAATTCTGCAAGGCCATGCAAGATTCATATTAGAATCTAGTAGATGACTCAGCAGCCTACCTTCTACTTATAACTGAAACACGCTTTTTAATGATAACCATTCAAATGACCTTCTGCTTTCCAGCTCCCTCGTCAACTCCTCCCATGCTCGCCTCCAGGTCTTCACTAGAGCCTCTCCCATCCTATGGAACTTTCTACCCCAACCTTTCCGTCTGTCTCCCACTCTGACTGCCTTTAGGCAATCCCTTAAGACTCATCTCTTCAAGGAAGCCTATCCCACCTCAACCTGACCACTGAACTATCACATTCTCAAACAATTCATCCCCATACAGCTATCTCCTCATGTATCACTTCCCCCACCCTTTAGACTGTAAGCCCTTATGGGCAGGCCCTCCTTACCATCTTGTCTTGAATTGTATTGTGATTGTAATGTCTTCCTTATATTGTAAAGCGCTGCGCAAACTATTGGCGCTATATATATCCTGTATAATAATAACCATCACTAACAGCTCTGTTTCCTTTTTATGCAAGGTTCAATAGCTGTGTGGAACACGACATATACTGTATATGGTAGAATACCAAGTACAGAATGAAAAATTTCAATAAGAATGTTTAATTTGGTCTTACCTCGGTATGGGGTTGAACGCTGGTGGCGCCGCTGATATAAGTAACAACAAGAGCACATAAAGCAGCAAACCAATGTGACAATTACCACAAAGAAGAGTAGCACAGAAAATCCAATGCCTGCAATGGTCTTCGGGCTGTAGCAGAAATAAAAAAAAAAGTTACAGATTACACAGAAGTGATGGGAACTGAACATTGAGAAAAATTAGAAATAGGAAAATAAGTTATGTAACATTCAATAATAAATGATCTTGTTTAAACAGTACCTTAAAGAAAGACAGGCTTTCTGCATCCTCTCAGTGATTAGCTTACTAGGCTCAAAGCAGCAATATCTCTGGTAACAGTCTCCGCAGCAAAAAGTGCCATATTTACAATCAAGGCTAGGATGCCAACCGCCACTGTGATCCTGATACCAAAGGCAGTCTACACCTGCTGACACTAAAAAATAAACATAACAGTAAAGTATATCATATAGAAATCGCAAATAGGCTTGAAGATGTAAAAAATACTACTGAAAAATATAT